TAGGGATTTAAAATTACATGTCATAAAAAACCGTTACCGTAAGTTACGTAATTTACCGAAAATTACTGAAATTTTTGGTAAAAAATGAAATTTTTAAAAATGCTTAAATTTTATGAGATTTTCTACCTAAAATATAGTTTTTGAGATGTTTTGAACTAATAGAATGTCTTGTGTGACACAAAAGAGGACTTTGAGGCTCAGAAATTATACTCTTGATTTTCCGATGTTGGGCAGTGATACTATTTTCCTTGAAGTATTGGTGCGGGCGGGCAGGCCTCCTGTTGTGGTTGTGGTACGTCACTTACTATAATGTAAATTTGCGCCATAACTTTCAGTGCGGAAAAAAGGTGGAAGACTGGCAGAAAAATTGTGTGTGTAGTTTTTATGCACTCATGAACTATCCTTGGTATTATTTTACGTATCTCATTACTTAAATATTTTTTTTCGTAATGATTGTAGGCTTTGTTCACATTTAAAGATTGAAATAAAGTTGGGTTTACAGTGATGTGAACGTTACTACAGGAATGTGTTCAATTAGACTTAGTTCAAACACTACGACTTATGCATAGTGTGAAAAGTGATATATGTTATATCTTTGAAATATTGGGAAAGTCGGGCCAAGAAGGCAGTCAAGCAGTTCTAAGTAGGAAGTCTATAATTCAAGTCCAAATCAGCCTCATTAAGTCAAAGAAGTGAAACATTTTAACATGTTTTCTACTCTTGACGTCTATATGACGTTTAATCGGTGTCCACGCTTAAGACTTGCAATCACGACCTTAATTCAGTCGTTAAATGCCAAAATATGTTAGTTTTTGATTAAAAATAAATTTCATAAATTTCACGCCTTGTGTAATATTTCATAATTTACGTGAAATATTACAAATCTTACATGTAATTTACAAAGCCTTTAAATCCCTAGTGCGTGTGTGCCTATGTGCTATGTGTGTGTGTGTGTGACACTGTGGGGTCTCTCTGTCGTGCACTGAAAGGACTTTCCGCAAAGCCAGGAGCGGCGCTAGACAGAGCGTCTGATGTGCAGAGCCCTCTCTACTGCCCCATCCGCCCCCCCCCC